TGATGGGACTCGCACGTTAATGTATGTACCATCTAGTGCTCCTAGACACCTCTAATGAAAAAAAATAGTATTAATTTGGAAGGAGTTCATAATAAAGAATTGACTAAGGGTTGGTAAGGGTGTTGTGTTGTAGGCTACCTTGAACCATTTCCACCGTGCATCTGAACAATCGTCCTCAACTGGCTTAGGTGTGGCGACTAGGACGGTGTGAAGGCGGATTACCGCATCAAGTACACGGTTAAAGTACTTGCTTACGGTTCTACCTGATCCCGTAAAATCAAACTTCAAGGTGACGTTTTTCTTGTGATGTGCGAGGATTGAAAGAAACATGGCCACTTGTTCACTCGGTGCAACGTTTCTAGATTGAACAAGACCCCCTAAATTTTCAAGGAGGAAACAAAGGCGACCAAAACAGTTCATGTCCATACGGAGGTTCTCAAGGCAAGTGGTGTCGCTAACGTCGACTAGCCTTTGCATATGGCTAACTTGAAGGGGCACTCTATCCCTCAATCGGTATATGAGTCTGCTAGTCAACGAAGGTCGACGGCGACAAGGGAGTATGAATTTGTGGTAGTAGTAACTAGCTACTATGAAAACAAAACGAGCACCAAGTACAATCTCTTCCAAAAGAGTGAGAATTAGTAATTTGTCTCGCACGTTATCCATCTACAAAGATTGAACAACAAGGGCAAGGATACACTAAGATTTATCCAAATATTAATACTTCACATACTCTGGTTCAATATACTCTGTGCAATGATACACTAAGGTTCACAAATTTTATTCAAAACAAGGGCAAATAACACTTATGTCATGCTCATATTCCCCTTCAAAATAAACTTCAAAAGGGCATACTCACTACACTTATACTCAGATGAAAAGAAACAACAAAAACAGCACGTACAACACATAATGGGCACTCTAAACATGCTATGCAGTCAACCCTCTAGTAAACCATACTAAGACTGGTTATGAAACAGAGGAGTAATACAAGAAAATTGCTTTTAATGTTAGTAAAATTCAAAAAGTACTTTAGACATAATGAAACATACACATAAACAGCATGTTCACATGTATAGTTATATGTCACAACACAAACTGAATAGTTATATGTCAAAATTACAAACATTGCAGACATCACCACCCTGAAATCATTCACATTCCAAAAAACATTAACATACACATAAAGTTACCAGTAACAGTTATATATTTCAAATTAAAAACATTCCAGAAATCATTGCAATTTTCACCTAGAAATTGGAACCAATGCTAGGTTTCAGATATAACAATTTACTGCAGTAGTGATTGGTCACTAGAACCTTTATAGCAATTAAAACATAAATGAACAGCAAATGAACAAATTTTTTTGGAAATTCCAAGACATTTCAGCAAATGAACAAATTAACAACCAAACAAGTTAATTGACACAATCAGTACAACAAAATATATATAACATTCGCATAAACCAATCCATTTTTCAGTACGTAAGGACATGTCCATTGTTTACTTGGGAACGGATGTGTAATATTTAACAAAACAAGGCAAATGATCAAAAAACTCATGCGCAAATATTCGCAAGAAAAATATGCCAACACTAAAACATGCTTTTCTTTTTCTTTCTCTAGAAGCTTAACAAGATAAGACATGAAAAAAATTGAGTTATAAAGTGTAAAGCTAAGCACAAATCAGCAGAAATAATTAACATGTACCTATAATGAGGAAAATTAAAAACAAGCTGAGGTTCCAATTACTGAACCTAACATTTCATACTCTGAAAAAATAAAAACAAAATACACTGAATTTCAGCAAGACAACAAACAAATTGGGATTCCAACAATTTATCCAAAACAAGAGCAAATAACACTTTATAGTCTCTGAAAGTGAGCACAATTCAACACATAATAAAGAACATTCCAAGAAATTTTAGCAACTGAACAAATTAAGGCCCAAACACAACAACACAACATTATTATAATCTCAAAATAAAGAGCAGAAGGGTAAAAAATAGTTCAACACATTGCGGCCGCACAGAAAATAGCAAAGTTGTATGGCTTCCTCCCCTGCTCCTGCTCGTCGCGGCCGAAGTGAACTAGGGCAAATGCCCCATTTTCATAACAACATCAAGGTTAAACTATGCCAAATCACAAAACAATGTTACAAGAAAAACAGAAAGATAAGGAAAAACTCGGAACTTACCACAGACAACGAAACTCCAAAGAATAACAGGTACTCAACCACGAACAAGGATCTACACACCTAGGGCAACATGAAGCACTCAACTTCAGCTCAAAAAAATTAAATAAAATTTTAAAACAAAAAAATAAAATAAAAAACCGATATAAAAGGCACAATGATAATCGATGTCTTCATTACAAAATAACATAACAAAGATGAGAAAATCGACCTTACCTTCGAAGATGACAGAGCGCACGAAGTTCGTCGGGGGAGAGGGGGGTAAGAGAAAGGTATCGATTCTGCCCTAAAAATCACAAATGACGGATTTTTGTTTTTTATATGGGTAATTGGTTGTAAATAAATGGAACCCAAGGGGCATTTATGTATTTTTACAAAGGAAAAGTGAGGGTAAGTTGGGGATGTCAAAACGGGATAAAAAATATCCGGCCTCCCCCTGGGATTTAATTTGTCCCAGAAACCGCGATAATAGTGTGGGTCCCGCGCGCCAGCGAGGATTGAGTTTGTCCCAATCAGCTGATGTAAACGAGGGATATATTAGTTATCATATCCCAACCCTCAAAGCAGGGGCGGAGCTAGGACTTTAAAATACCTGGGGCTGATGAACCTGCAACCTCCGATTATTTCTAGATTCAAATTTGGCGATAAAAGTATCATTACTAATCTTTTCGACCAACTCCCTTTCAATGTAAATAAACATTGAATGCACCAAAAAATATTCTTTCATCTTATTAAGAAGAACTGTCTTGACAAGTTTTATAGCCGAAAAAGCTCGCTTTGTAGTTGTCGCAGACACAAAGAGAGTCAAAACAAGACGAATTAACCTGTCATTTCATCTCTTTGATCGACGGGACATTTCCATATTGAAGTACGCAATACCGGGTCAAGTTCAAGAGAGCTCACATCAATAGAGGTGGCAACATCTTCATTTGAAGGATGATCTCCACTTGTCAACGTATGCTCGTTTGGCTTAAGAAACGAATTGATAGTTTTTCCCTTCTTCTCCTTGACCCTCCATTATAATTAAAACCTTCCAAGTTAACAAAAAATAGTAAATTAATCAATCATTTAGGTGATATAAGATAATTATAAAAAATAATAAAATAAAATAAAAAAAAGTAATCAATAATGCATTATGGGTTTTTGTACACAATCATATCATGAAGGCAAAGCATCAACATCTTTAAAATAATTGAGTACATGATCA